TGGAAGAACGTAAGGCGATCTCTGCGCAGGATGGTATATTCATCGTCTGCCGTTACACACTCGTTCTTGAGCACATCATTGGATATAGGGAACAATGGGAAACATCGTTTAAATGAGCCTTTTTCTTATTCACTCCTGATAGGTCCGTCAGTGTCTGCTCTCATTGGTCCGTTCTTCTTGACAAGGTGGTGTTTAAGAGCTTCGTATGTGCCGGTAGATCTATCCTTCTGTTGATCGAGTTGGTATCCGATTGCCAACGAAGATGAAGCAGAAAACAAGGCGTCTTCACGGAACACACTGTATTTGTCACACAAATGCAGTGTGTTCCATGAAGGCGCCTTGTTTTCTTCTTCATGTTCGTTGGGGGAGGTGGAACGGGATAATGTATCTAAACCTCGTATCTTCAGTCATGTTAACAAATATATCTATATATGTAAAAAGAATGCTTGTCGGAAAATAGAGTTTTCTTCGTGAATTTTTGAGCTGGTGACATTAGCTCTTCGTCAGTCGAAATGCAAGTGAGGGCTGGGATTGTCGCACTAGGGGGTTTGGGGGCAGAGGTCACATAGAACAGGGCTGAGGGTGCGGGAGAGGAGTAGGGGTAGGTTGACGCGAATAATACTGCGATAGGCGTTGTCAGTGAAAGGGGGGTGTGAACGTCTCGACTGTGAGCCACGTGTTCTGGGGGAGCTGCAGAATCAACGAAGGTGCACTTAGCCAAGTACGGATTGGCTGTTGTTATTTCAGGCTGGACGCAAGTTCGTCCACCATGCACGCAAACCGGCGTAATGTGAATCAAGATCCGCATGCCTGTTAATACTGTGTGTGCCGGAATGCCAAGTTTCGAGAAATCATCGTGCCTGTTTTGTATTAACCGTGGCAACCACTTCAGTTCCGTCCCAATCGAAGCGGTGGTCATTATCAATAGCTTGCGCGAACATGTGAGACAACGAGTCACTTCTACGGAGGGCCCACTGATGTTCACGTATCCGGGTCCCGGGTTTCCGACCTGTATGACCTAAATATATTAACTAAGAAACGTGCCAACACCGATCCAATTAACTTCCCGGAGTAAACAAACTTCGTGTGGGTGCCTAGGTGTCTCAAGCTTATACGCTCAAAAATTATTAAATGTAGCACATGGAGGTTCCTGTCCAGGACATGACCTTTTAAGGTTAGACCCGAAATGATAATGAATGTTTGAGCCATGAATGGTCAACTGCTGTGGAATTACCACATAATTCCGATTCCACAGACAAATATTGCTGCAGATAGTATACATTTAATATAGAAAAGAGGTTAGACCTTCCCCAGGAGGTAAGAACGAAAGCTCCAGGCCAGAGCTAAATCGGAGTCAAGTAAGTTGCGCATCACTTGAATTTATTCAATTAATGAGGAAATATGGGTAAAAAATAAGTCCCATGACACTTTGGACGTGTTTGTTATTGTGCCTTATTACATCTTTGTTCATTGTTAACGCAGTTTTACCCGAGTATTCACGCATGACTCATTTGGCGTACTTGAAGGAAGAAGGTGATATACATGCTTTCGCTTTATGTTTAAGGGTGTCGCAGTTCCTCACCCGCTGGACAGCTGATGTCGGAGTACTGCGCAGTCTAAGCGAATCCTTTGCCTGTTGTCAAATCCGTTGCTTGTTGAGTCAGTCAACAAAACTGTATGTTGTAACATATCCATAAAGAGCTCTCCCCTTCAAATCCAGTTTAGTAATTTTCCAGGAAGTTTTTGATGCAAAATTTACCCCTTTTTACTATTGGCCCATCTGCACTCGGGATATGAGCGAAGTACCGAACCTGGATATAAAATCTGCATGGGCTCAAGTTACCCTTCTAACCTTCAGAAGTTTTTTTATTAGATGAAGGTCGTCAACATCTCAGGCACAGCCTCCAATGGTTATACGATGCTTCCAGGTCAGTCAGATGAGTTCAGGCCACTAACAGTCGGAATAAACGAACTCACTGAAAGCCTCGATCCCGGACAGAGCGTAGGTGCAGGGGATTCAGTCTTTCACTTCGCGCCATACACTATGTTTTCGCCATCAGCGCAGCCACACCCACCACTACCGACGTCAGCTCTTGCGGTGACGGCGACAGAAGCGGTGACAGGGTTGGAGGAGTTCCAGGCCGCCGCAGCTCAGGATCCCCTCTCTCCTGGGCCAGAAGATATGGAGGCCAACCTTGCTGCAGCCGCTCTACGAGCCGAGAGTGAGGATACTCGGACTGACAACTACCTCAACTATGACGTCGCTTCCGACCTCACAAATCCATTCTGCTGATGTAGCCTTCAGTAGGGTGTACAGGAAACCGTTTTTCTCACCCATTAGCCTGCTTACAGAGGATATCTGTGATTCATCGTAGCTGATGCGTTTGTCACTAATCTCTTATTCCACTTGATCCGCTTATTTATTACTTTGGTGTTAATGTTTTTATGTTATGGTTGAGGAGCATGTTTCCCTAAGGTGATATTGCTTTGTTGCCTAAGGTCCTTTAAGTGCTTATTTGCATAATGCAGTTTTTTTTGACTTCGCTCCTGCCCTCTTTGTCTTTCGGTTTTGATCTCTAATCTTAGTCATTTGGGGGGGAGGATC